CGCAGGGCCGGCAGCCGCACTCTAAGTGTCTCTCCACCTCCTCCACGAAGGAGGAGCCGTCCGTGCACTGGAAGACGTATTTCCGCCGCTTGCTGCGGGTGGGCAGGCAGCACTGGGGCCCGCAGCCCCCGCGGCACTCCACCACGGGCACCTTGGAGGCTGTGGCACACGACGCGTAACCCTTCTGGCGGCGGATCACCTCTCGGACGACCTCCCCCAGGCACGGGTTTTCTGCAGAGGGCAGCGGGGTAAGGTCAGGGCACTGGTGGGGCAGAGGGCTGGCAGGAACCAGGGCCCCTTCCTGGGCAGCGTTCTGAAACTCTGTGGTCTTTAGTCACTCACTCATCTGCCCACCCCGCTCTTCCCCCCCCCCCCCCCCCCCCACACTCTCACCCCCTACGCATCGTTATCTCCGTGAAACTGCCCTCCACCTATCTACCCATCCATCCACCCACCTGCATCCCTCCCTTCAAGGAACTTGAGACCAAATTTTATGTGGCAAACAGATAGAATGAGGGCTAGTCCCATGTCCAGGCAAACTGGTTGCACCCCCTGCTTAAAGTCAGATGAAATGCCCACGTTAGAAACAAAACCCAGGGGATTCCACCTAGCAGTTGGGGTTTCTGGCTGCTTTGGAAAGCAGGAGGCCTGGCAAACGGGGCCCACTTCTCTGCATTGTAGTGGTGGCTGGAGCCCAGGGTTTAGATGGGGCGGCTCTAGGTGCCCCGCCCTCGCCCCGCTCGGTGGTGTGGAGCCTGGACACTAATGGTACCTGAGAGGCCTGGCGGGAGCACACAGCACAGGGGCTGCCGTGGGCGGGGGAGGGGCTCTAAGCCTGCAGGAACCCTCTGGACCCTGACCCGCCTCTCCTCTCCACCCCTCCTGCCCTCCCTGCACTGGGAGCACCCCTGCAGCGAGGCCCGAGGCCAGCAATGGACACAGCCAGATGCTCTGCCACACAGCCTCGGTTTCCTAGTCTGGAAAATGGTGCCTCGTGCCCTGTCCTCCCTGCTACTGCACAGGCTGGCAGGAGTCCAGAAAGGGCCTCGTGCTCCGCCCAGAGGTTGGGTCCGGGGACTAATGGGAGAGAATGTTAAGTGGGATACAGATTTGTAAGTGATGGGATTGTCAAAAGGTCCAGAGAGAGACTAGGGGGAACGAGTGTGTGGAAAGTGCAAGGCAGCAGCGACGGGGCATTGGGCTGAAGGAACGGAGCGCTGTCTGTATTGTTCTGGCAGTTTTTCTGTTTAATCTGAAGTTATCTCAAATGCACTGATAAATTTTTGATTAAGAGTGGTAGTTCAGCTGGGTATAAAATGTGAGTCCTCTACTGTCAGGAGTGTGGTGAGGGAGGGGAATTCTCTTTCTCTGCAGGTTCTGACCTAAAAGGTCTCCAGTGGGGGCCTGAGACTGCACTTCTACCACCTCCCAGGTAAGTCAGTGTGCTGGTTAGACGTCTATACCTTGTGTGGCTAAGTTAGGGATTCGTTTTGAAAGCAGGCATTTCAAGGGGTCAGAAAGAAGGAAGAGTGGAAAGGAGATGGACAGAGAGAAGTGGGAGGAGAGGAGAGAGGCTAAAGGGAGAGAAAAGAGGGTAGAAGGAAGAGGGGGGGAGAAGGGAGAAAGAAGGGAATGGAAAGAGGGGAAAGGAGTGAGGTGAGGAGAGGGAAATTGGGGCTGGGGGAGAAGGGAGAGAATTGAAGGGAAAAGGTATAGCAGAGGACAGAGATGGGAGGAGGAAGAGAAAGGATATGAAAGAGGGAAGAGGCAAGAAGAAAGAGTAGAAATAAGAGGTGAGACAGGAGAGTGGACAATATATGGGAGAGGAGAATGGAAAGAGAGGCGGGAAGAGCCGACAGGTAGGGCAAAGGGAGAGAGGGAAGCGGGGAGAGGGAAGAACAGAAAGGGAGAGGAAGGAAGATTGAAGAAATATGGGAGGGGAGACTAGAGAGAGGAGAGGGTGTAGTCTAGGGCCATGGTCGGCAAACCGCGGCTCGCGAGCCACATGCGGCTCTTTGGCCCCTTCAGTGTGGCTCTTCCACAAAATACCATGTGCGGGCGCACACGTACAGTGCAATTGAAACTTCGTGGCCCATGCACAGAAGTCGGTATTTTGTGGAAGAGCCACACTCAAGGGGCCAAAGAGCCGCATGTGGCTCGCGAGCCGCGGTTTGCTGACCACTGGGCTAGAGGGAACGGAAAGGGAAGAGAAGCAGGAGGGGGTGTAGGTTAGAGGGGACAGAGATGGGAGAGAAGAGGGAGAGAGGTTGGGCCATGCAGCCTCCAGGTGGCACACAGCAGGCCTACCTTGTTCGCAGTGCTCCCCTCCGAAGCCAGGCTGGCACAGGCAGTAGGGCTCCCCTCGGTCTGAGACGTGGCACTGCCCGTGGTGGCATTTGAAGGCTGAGCAGGCGCTGGCGGAGTCGTTTTTGTGGTCACACAAGGCCCCTCCGTAGCCCTCGGCACACTTGCACACGTAGGAGGGCCCGGTCCTCACACACTTGCCGTGGTTGCAGCTGTGGGCAGACGAGAGGGTGAGAGGGGAACCGGGGCGTGGGTGCTGCGGGAGGTGTCTTCCTCCACCTCCGGGCTCAGACCCAGACCCAGCTCCGTGGGACTGTCTCCATCCCACACTCCACCTCCGACTGGCCCCGTGGCCGAGCTCAGTCATTCCGGAGACACTCTGTGGTGTCCCAGGGCCATTATCCAGTGTCCACACGGCTGCGGCCACCATGTGGCTGGCTCAGAACTCACGGGTCCGAGCAGCAGTCACTGCTGGGGAGCGTCTCGGCTTTCTCTAGGCATGTCAGCTGCCTGCAACCCTCACTGCTCATATGTTAGTGCTGTGAGCACCACCAGGCGCAGCCACCCTTGCTGGTGCCAGGCAGCCAGCATCGTGCTGGGTGTGTACTAAGTCCCCCCTCCTGCTGCTCCTGTGCGGTGGGTCGCCTTCTCCACGTGGCACAGGGGCAGGAACGGGTGCCCAGTCTATGTTCTAATCACGGGCAGCGCTGTCTCTGCTGGGGTGATGGTGAGAGCGGGGTTCCCTGCAGACGACTCAGAGCCACACACCGCAGAGCTACGCAGAGCCACCGGCCCTCATTGCCAATTTACGCTGCCACTTCCCAGCCGGTCAGCCAACCCAACCACTGGTCTTGGCTCTGGTGTTATTTTTGGCTGATTCAGATTTCTTAGCACTGAGACTCTGCGTCTCTCAGTTTAACACTGGGCAGGGCGCACAGTAGGACCTCTGAATACTGTGGGGTAAATGCGAGCGATTAAGCCGTGAATGTGATTCGGCTGTGGGTATGCACACCGGGTTTTGCACGGGCACCGGCTGAGGGGGCAGCCGAGTCTGGGCTGAAAGTCCCTCCTCCCACTGGCCCAGCTGAGAGGGTGCCCGTCTGCCCAAAGGGGCGCCTGTCTGATTCGTAGGGAGGCAGGTAGGGGCACCTGATGCCTCGGAGAGGGGCCTCCTGGGCACGTGTAAGCTCTGGACTCCTCGCAGTCACACCGATGCAGGTCCTGCCTACAGTTTAACCACAGTCCCTCCAGCTGCCATCAGGGCTACTTCTCA